GTTCATGATGATAGTAAAATGAAAAAGTCAATGAAACGTAAAAGAAGGGATATATCGTCGCAACCAGCATCGAATACAATTGATAAATCTTTAAGTCAATTAACTATTTCTCAACCATCACCCAAAAAACAAAAGATGATAAATAATGAAATTGAACAAGTAACAACAAATGGAATATCAAAAAAGGAAAATTCGAAATCCAAAAAACAAATTAATCATAATAATGATGATTCTTATATACCTGATTATTTAAAAGTATCAAATCGTATATTTAGACAAATGTTAATTAGTTCATTAGAAGATGCTGATAAAATTGTTAAACGATTAAATACAAGTGGAAAAATTAATTATATTCGTCAATATGCTTATTTAATTCATCGTCTATTTTATGTACAGTTACAAGAAGAACAATGGAAGTATTATTATGATATAGGTATGGAAGATAATATTTGGTCAGGACGTGTCTCTAAGAAGTGGGCAGCTATGAATAGTATGTATTATACTTATGGTCGATCAAAAACATTAATCGTACAACGTCTAAAAACTATTCAACGACAACTTCAACAAGCATCAGAAGCATTACAACAGTTTGGTAATCAACCATTACCTCAATGTTTATCAGAAATGAATCCTCCATTAGATTTTACAACAATGTCAGCAATGGTTACAGCTGTTGTACGTAAAGGTCAACATAAATTAAAACAACAATTTGAATATTATAAAAAAATGTTGAAATTAGAATCAACAGATCATCGATTAGTACAATATGTTTATGATTTAAAATCTAATAAACAACAAATTCGTTCAATTCGTAACATATGGAAAGCAATTTATAATAAAAAACAAATGGAAGAACAAATTGAAATATTAAAACATCGTATTCATTCCAATTGTTTACCACCAGCATTCAATTTACTTGATTATTCACTTGATAAAATTGACAAAAAACTTAGCCGAACTAGACAATCTACAATGAACGATAATGATAGCAAACAACAAACTATATTAGCTGCCCGACGATTAAAAAAAATTGGTCGATTTAAATATGATTTACTTGAATTATGTATTGCAGCTGGTGAAGAAAAAGTACGATATTATGATAAAATAGCAAAAAAAGAAAAAAAGAAATTAATAACTATTAGTGATAAACTTAAAAAAAATAACACCAATTCAGATATGTTCAAGCAATTAGCGGAAGCTATTGAGGCACGTCAACAGCATATGGTCGTACGTGCTGATTATATTACACAACAAAAATTAAAATCTTTTTTCGACGAAGCTCCGGCGTCACAAGACGCTACAATGAACAACGATGGCGTCGGAGCAAATTAAACTTAAATATTCGAAATCATCCAAACATGCTGCTTAGTTTATATTATCTTAATACTCTTATNTCGAATGGTATATAATAGTTGGGGTTTTATTTGACTATGATAGGAAAAGTTTTTTACGAAAGCGGGGATGGGTCGATTTTCGCATAGGAAGCCATAGGAAAAAATGAGTATTTTTGCAATAACTCAAGAATAGTTCAGCCAATTCTTTCCATCTTCGAACTCGACCGAGACATTATTAAGACTGAACTGTGTAGAAAATTTCATCGCGATTGGACTCTCCTTTCAAAAGTTATCGTGTTAACGGACGGACGGACGGACGGCCGGACATACTGACCGATTCTAGAGTGTACTCACTTTTTGAGTACACAAAAACGATTTTTTCCTGGAACAAACTTGTTTAGGAAAACCATAACTTTCAGAAAGAGATCTTTTCGTGGAAAAGCCAAACTCATAATTTCGAAAAACCGACTTCAGATTTGGATTCTCTGACTCCGATTTACTTTCGTCAACCTTTATAGAAAATCGTTACTTTCTTAAAAAACCCTTTCCCTGACGAAAAAAAATAAAATTCAAAGTTTCGAAAGACTGATTATAGATTCGGATTCTCCGACCTCGATTTACTTTCGTCAACCTTTATAAAAAATCGTTATTTTCTTAAAAAATGCTGTTTTTTGTGAAAACCGGCTTGGACCAATAACCGTTGGTACGGTTACCGTAGTTGGACCGATAACCGTACCTACGGTTATCGTCACCGTTGCATCCCTATATATTCTATTATGACTTATAGAGGGTATCCCTATATACTTCATAATGGCTTACGAAGAGTACCCCTATTTATTTGATAATGCATTGAGTTATATAGATACCCAGTCGGACTGGGTCACCCAGTCCGCAGTTCTGCACTGGCACTGGTGCATACCTAATTTAAGTTAACTGTTTCTCTGTAGGGTACAGTAACTCATTCATCTGTTTATTGCTGTTAGCATAAAATATCTATTAAAAGCTAGATGCCTAGTGTGGATCACATGGGGGAAACGGCGGACTTTTGGATTTGAATTTACTTTGAGCTACTTTAAGCTAATTGTTCCTACTTTGGTCTACTTGGGTGGTACTTTGAGCTTCTTCAAGTAGTCTACTTTGACATACTTTGACGTACTTTTCTACTTCAAGTCCGCCGTTTCCTCCTTGGTGGATCACTGTCAAACATAGCTTTGCAAATGGCACAGAGATCAATTGGAATCATTCGCATCTGTTGGAAGTATTGAAGAGACCGTGCGTTCCAATCGCAAACAAGTCGTAATCGATAGTGATTGCGTATTGCAATCAGTTAGGTTAAAAACTTCATCTATCTAGATGAAAGAAGCACAAGACGCACATGAGTAAGGAAAATAAAAACGCCTGTGTCGAAAAGTAGAAACTAAAGAAACGGTATTTTACTGCCACTGCAGACATTTTCTTAACTTCAAGAAGGACACTCAGCGCTTGCTCTGTGTGATGTAACTGACTTGTAAAACTGGGGATGTATGAATGACAGCTGGAAAGTAAACCGTTTCAACGTGTAAAGGATCCATTAAATGTGTTTTCAGTTACTTTCTATCCTGTTCGTTGAGGCTTTTTCTAAAACTGTGCCGATTGTATTCTGAAAGAAACCAAGCATACGCTTCACAAAGTAACAAAGATACTTACAAGGTTTTTAGTGCGTAAAACTTTCTATAGGGCCGCAAACATAACATTACGAACCATGGCAATGTTAGATCATGGTACTATATACAGAATTTTAGCATCGCTTCTTTCATTAAAATATTCACGTCCGATCACGTCGCCAACGAGGTCCAAACTCATTCCACAAACCTCCGACTTCGATTAAATACACATACATAGAAACGTCTTACAAGCTTCCACACCTAGGAAAACCAAATGTCATCACAATGTGTCCAATTCTACAAATGAGTTGCTTCTTCGCATGTTTTCTTCATTTCGTTTCGATTGAAAGCTGCACCAGCGAAATCTCATGATCGTTCCATACAACCTAGATGGACCTCCACAATTCTTTTATAAGATGTCCAAATCTTATACAAGTCAACAAAACAGTGATATCGTGCTCATCGCTAAGCTTTCAACAGAACTAATGAAAATACCTCCCATTTACACACCAAAAACATCGGTACAATAAAAACACTCCGAATTAATTTCAGTGTTTGCAATACAGACAATATACATCCGGCATACTCACTCTGATATCAGTGATAACCGATACCACAACATTTCATCCTTACTCGTCCCATCAAACCACATCAGACAATATAACCAAATTGTTAACTTTCTCAAAAATCCACACCCACGAAGAGCCTTTACGCCTATTCAGCATCTCCAAAACCCAATCTAACTTCCAAAATATTTTATGTGTATCTTTTGAAAATCTCTATCAATTAGCTAAAACCAGAAAAAATGTTCATTCCAATAATACGAACATTTTTCTTTTACAAAGTACAGCAACCATCAGTTTTGAGAGGAAAATCCGCTACCGAAAATAGTTTGGTATTGGAAAGCACAAGTGGCCAAACTTTTTCGATCACCGGACATAGAGGATGTTGTAGCACTTGAAAAGTTCTATCGATTGGTTAATACCAGAAAAAATGTTCATGTGATTTTTAAAGATCAAATTCTTTCATGGGGAATAGCAGTGTACTCATAGCCCATAGGAAAACTGAGGTGTGTTGGTTATTTGCTGGAAGTATTGGAAAGTGATTGGAAACCCTTCACAATTTGGTATCAAAATGATCGTCTCAATTTGCCCTTTCATTCCCTAAGCGATGAGACTTGATTGTAAGATAAAAAACCAATGGGCCGATTTGTGGTCTTATCCGCCCCCATCCTTTATGGCCGGTAAGTTTCAAATTATTATTTCTATATCCTTCTATACTGATACCTTATTAATATTTTGTAGGTACATTGATGATGTATTTATACATACGAATTTAACAAAAGAAGAAATTTTACGTGAACTTGAAGAAACAATGAAAACCGATCCCAACATTAAAGTTACTATTACGATAAATCAAACAGTAGGATATCTTGATGCCAGTATTGAAAATAATAATGGACAGTTAAAAACAACTATTTATCATAAATCAGCTTGGGAACCTCATATTCTACCTTCTGACTCTGATCATTCACGACATGTGCATGCGAATATAATTTATACAATGCTAGTTCGAGCAGCACGCATCTGTTCAACTATAGAAGATTTTGATAGGGAACGTTTAAGTGCAGAGATGATACTGTTAGTCAATGGATATCCACCAAAATTTATCCACCATCATTTTAAAAATTTTTTTCTACGATTTGATGCTACAAGTACATGGACTCAATTAGACAGTGAATCCTATGAAAAATTACATGATACACTACTTTACAAACCAACACAAAGAGAAACTAAAACCAATGTACAGTCAATTGATCAATTCATTCAAAATCAAGCCACATATGAACATAAAGATCAAATTTATCTTCATTATACATTTGAAAATGGACCATTACTAAATTTTAAAAAAGAATACCACAAAATATGGCAAAACTATTATGTTTATCCAGGATCACGTCTGAAAAATACTCGACTCATTCTTGGAACCTTATTAAACCGAACATTACAAGATCTTTTAATACATAAAAAGCCTAAACGTGAAATGTTGACCGGGATACAAACAGCAACAGAAGACCGATTCCATAAATGAAACATATGTGTCCTATTTATTGAAAAAAATAGAGACTTTCTTCTCTTTTGTTTTGTATATGATACCACTTTACTATATATATCTTGTTTATTGTAAAAGATTTTTATTAACATATTTTTTTCTGTAACTATATGAAATGTTTCATACACTCTTCTTTCTTCTATTCATCATCTTTCAAACTATAATAATGCACCATTGAACATAATAACTGGTATTTCAGTGCAGTTAACATTAACACTTTCGTTCTATGTTTACTATCTTGAACTTATTCATTTTCGATTGAAAAGTATTTCATTTCTACTTTCTCTTATACATAAAAAAATTCTCAATAACTTGCGTACCACGAAAACACAAAAAAAACGTCGATGCAAAACAATCCACCGAAAGTAGTAAGCATTTCATATTTTTTGGAAAAAAACTTCACTAATCCTGTAAATTAACTAAAACATAGTTCTAATATGAATAGTTACTGTTTGGAAGTTTATCTCTTAAACTTTTAACTTTATTTATTCATGTAGAAGAGTTACATACCATAACATCTTCAATCATACGCAATTTATTAAGTAATTGATAAGTATATTTAGCACTTATCGAAACACGTGTCTTACCAGCTATTATGATTGATTTTATTTTACATATAAATCATTCATACCCACACCCAACCTAATCGATTAAGCTCACAATTATGTTCTTCAGTTTGTGGATGAGTTTGGGTGATGAAAAGATCCTAACAACCACACTCACACACGCATTCATCCCCGTACTTAAACTTAAATCTGTATTTATGCCCACACCCACATCTCACACCCGACCGCCACGATTAAAAGTAGAACATGTGTCCATCAGTTCACCAATTGGCAAGTCTCATCTTCATCTTTGACCGAGAACCATGAAGACATATCCTTAGTGTAGTCAAATCGAAGAAAAGTGTAT